TTCTCTCAGTTGTCTCAAACCAAGCACTTTAGTAACCAGTGTTTTCTTGAGGTCTCTCCTTCCTTTCTTACGAACTTACGCATGTGTCCTGGTGGTTTCACTTGTCTCTCTGTCCCTCTGAGGCCTCTCCACTACCTTCAGGACATCTTTCATCCACCTGGCACCAATATTCTACCTTTCTTTGAGTTTCCTTAAAGCTGGGTAATGAGCAGTGGCCTGTAGGGCAAATGTCATCTGCCAATGCATGTTAATTTGATATGCACCGGTGAACTTGCGTGCCTTCCGATGAAGCCTGTACTCACTTGGCCACAGTCTCTACAGTCCCTATAGCCTTATACTGGCAGCATCTCTTATTTACAAAACTTGCCTCACTCATGGAATCGTGGGTTTGCTACCTTTGCCCTAAATAATTCACTTATATAAACTGCAGGTTTTACCAGATCTTTCAGAAAACCACCTATAAAGGAGAGGATGTGACATCAGACACATTGCAGCAAAGCTCCAGCATTCCCCACTAGAATATCTGTCCTGTGTCCTTCTCTAGTCGCGCCCCTGTTGGGATATTTGTATTTGCGCTGCCCTTCTATTCAGTGCCCAGCCCCACTGACTTCTCTTTCCTTAGGCAGAGCAATTCATTTCTGTCCTGCCAGACCACGTATTGTGAGAGATTCCGGTAGGCAGCAAAACAAACCGCCCTCCGGTTAGCAGGACCCAGCTTCCTTAGAAGATTGTTCGGAGCGTCTTGCACATATTGATCTTGTCTTTTAAGTTTCGCCCCTAGCCACCTTGTCCCTACACCTAGCAGCTTGTCAGTGTATTTGTTCCAAACAAGTATAAGGAATTCCTATGAGGAATTTTGGGGAATACAACCTCCTCTATTTTGTTACAAAAGAGATGGAGAAAATGGAGGCCACCCACCTGGGAATATAACGAGGAGTTTGGGATATTTCAAGGAAAGATAAGAAGCAGTGGTCATGAGCTTGGGAACCACAGTACCTCTGGGAAGAGGGTGCTCCTCCACCTTTGAGGGATTCAGAGGAGGAGCTCTGAGATCAGAGGAAGAGATTAACATGAATGATAACAGGAAAAAATGATCACCTTTCAGAAAAACCTATAGCAAAGCCAGTCAAAACTAGGTGAACTGGCGAAGAGCTTACAGTGTCCACGAGAGAACTTTATGAACACAAAAGAGAATCCTAGCAAGGGAAAGAAGGACATAGGAACTCTGTGGCTCAGGATTCCAGTAGCCACGTGCTGAGAGCCAGTGATGGTTTCCACACCTTTATTGTTGGGGCATCCCTTTCATAGTCCAGCATGACTAGGAAAAGAAGCACCAGTCATACAGAGAGGTCGGTATGTGGGAGTTCGTCCGTCTCTCTACCTGTAGCTCTCTCTTTGCCCATTATGTGTAGCCTCTAGTTCTGCCTTTCATGATAGTGACTCGTAGCCTCACTTCTTTGGGGCTTGACTGTTGATCAGATGCATATAAAATAGAACAGACCTGGATTTAAATCATTTCTCCATCATTACTAGCTTCCTGGCTTTGCTAAATCAGTTCACTCAGTTTGCCCGTCTGTGAATTGGAGATCATGATTATCCATCTCACAGAGTTATCGTGATTTCTGAAAAACTGAGATGGTATAAATAAAGGAGCGGACCTACTATCTGGATTAGTAGATGCCAAGGAAAGCATATTTCTTCTTTCTCCCCACTTTTTGAAAATGAGCTGAGCCTCAAGTCAACATTCACAATGTTTTCACACTCAATAAGTAGGAAGCTTGAGATGTTTGAATTTATGGCGGTGCTCTACCTTGCCTGTGAAAGTGTGACTGATTTTGACTAGTTCTTGTTGTTGTTCGAGACAGAGTCTCGCTCTGTCACCCAGGCTGGAGTGCCGTGGTGCAATTTCAGCTCACTGAAATTTTCTCCTGGGTTTAAGAAATTTTCCTGCCTCAGCCTCCTGGTAGGTGGGATTACAGGCGCCCACTACCATGCCAAGTTGAGTTTTATATTTTTAGTAGAGACAGGGTTTCACCACGTTGCCCAGGCAGGTCTCGAACTCCAGACCTCAGGTGATCTGCCTGCCTCAGCCTCCCAAAGTGCTGGGATTACAGGCGTGAGCTACCACACTTGGCTGATTTTGACTAGTTCTTTCTGCTAAAATACACAAAATCACCAGATTATTTGAAGAGACTATTACTCACAGAAGGTTCTTAGGAGTCCAATTTCTCCCCCAAAAGAAATTAGTTTCTTGTAAATACTATCTAGAGAAACACATGTTCCACTTTCTATCATTTGAAATAACAATGAAAAAAATATTTATTCTGTAAACCTCTTAAGCTCTACCAAAATTAGATAAGTCTTAGAACCTAAGGATACAAGGTTACATATAGTATCATTCCATAGAGCACATTTCAAAGACAGGCCTGCCAACCAGTACTTTTGTATGAAGATTGTAAGTAAAATCGAAGTTGAGCCTGAAATACAAATTTATTGCAGCCTTCATTGCTTGTTAACTTGAATTAATAGTGCCTGAGCAACTACAGTCAGACTTCATCTACACATGAAAAATGAAGTGGAGAATTGAGTAAATTATCTTTATATGGGCCAGGCAATTAAGGCCAAAAAGTGGTTAGTTAGCCTAGATTATCCAGATTCTGGCCTTATCGGAAGGCTACATCAGAAAGTCAGAATAAAACACCTTAAAAAAAAAAAGTGAAATAATCACAGTGTTGATTGGAAAGGTGCTGGGTAGCGAGCCATCAAAGTTAAGGTCTCCCAGAGAAGGATCCCAGCCATGAAGAATTCATTCAGCCTTGCCCAAATAAGAGAGACTTGGGCAGTAATTAAAGTCCTGCATACTTCTCAGACCCAAAGAGAAGGCTTTCACTTGGACAAGGCACATTTTACAATAGGTCTTCTATTAAAGACAAGGTTTTAGGAGTTTTTAGAGACTTTTAAACATAATGCCAGTTGTACCATGTTTTGGAGCAGGAATGGGCAAGGAGACCTCTGTTTCCCAAGGGAAATGACTCACGTCCCAGAATCATAAACTCAGCTCCAGTTCGCTTCCCAGGAGCCTTCACAAAAGGCTCTACTGGTTTATGCTGGACTGGGCCTTCCTATTCTTATCCCGTTTCCAGAAGCTCTCAGTGATGGCAGTAGTGGAAGGAAAGTATTCAGTCCATCCACTTGCTGCCAAGTCAGTATGGAAGCTCCGTGGCCCTTAAGGTTCAACTCAGTGTGGATAACAAAGCTTGGGCCCAATGAACCACAGTACATTTTACTTTTGCCACTTCTCAGTCATATATTTTTGGGCAAATGACAAAACCATTCTGAGCTGCCGTTTCCTTACAGGTAAAATGGAATTCTAAGACCTACCTTATAAAACAATTTATAGAATTAAATAATACTTGTTCTATACCAGGCACGTAGGCTCTCAAGTTGGTTTCTTCACTCCTTATTTTAAAGATACTTAGAATGGTTCCAGGATAGGAGCTCAACAATCATTTGCTAAATGAAAGAAACCAAGAAAGAGAGAATAAAGAAGGAAAAGAAAAGAAAAAGAAAAATGGGAGCCATGAAGAGAGATAGACCATAAAGAAATGAAGCTAAATATTCTTCTCAAATAGGAACTGGAGGGCTCTGTGGCACGCGGGGCACTTCGGAGATCCAGAAAGATTGCTCTCAACTCAGATTTGGGTTGAACTGCCTTGGGCAGAGACCCACTGCAGGCAGCTCTGAAAGACCACTGGGCTAGGCAACCTCCTGTCACTCTCAGCTCCTCCCTTACCAACTTCCACCTCATGTGGCTCTGCAGTTGTCCATTCAAACACATGATAACATGCTGCTGTGGATTTCATAAACTCTAAATCCCCGGGATCCATGTGCCTGGGATAGGACTATGCCACACCCATGACCCTTGACAGGGGAATGGACGGTCATGCTGCCAGGTCCAGATATCTGTCCACCCCTGACACGTTCACAGGGCTCAGCCAAACCCACCTCCTGATCCCATACGCTGCTTTTCAATCTTCCCAGTTTTAACTCTCTCCCAACATACCTCGTATGGAGGAATGATCTGGGGGAATAAACTCATATGTGAAAGTTTTTTGTTCTCATTTATTTACATATTAGCAACTGTATGCTTTCTTTCTACTGGACAAGGATGTCTCTGAGCACTGCATATGGCCTCCTAAGAGGGCAAGAATGATTGTTCATATCATGAAGCTGTGTTGCTTTTAAAAGAGCAGAACTGTATGCATGGCAAGAAAAAGAAAAGCACTACATTGGACTCATGACTTACAACCAAGGGAATCCCCAAGATATGTTCCCCTCAGTAAATTATGTCTTTATGGCAGTCCCAACACTGTTGAAGCTCTTATCTTCAATGGCTGGTAAATGTTTAGTCCTTGGGAGTTAAAGACTCATTAGATGATGGATCTTTTTTTTTTTTGAGGGACAATATCCTTTCTGCTGGGACTCTTTGACAAAAGTTTGTGAAATCCTGGACACCTTCTGAAAATGATGTATGTGCACTGTAGTCTTTTTTGTGTCAACACCCTGAGCAAGGTGAGGCAGTCCGTAATCACAGCCTTTGAATGTGCTGCTTCCATTAAGCTGGTTGCACAGGGGCAGGCCTAATGTCTGGCTTTTCAGAGTCTGGGGAGAGATGCAGTTGTTCTGTGTTGCTTTGAGGCAGATGTTGGCAAGGTGTTTAGACATAGGAGGAACAAGAAAAAGGATGAACATTTTAAACTGCTTTCTGCAACCACCGATGTCCTTCCTCCAGTCCCCAGTTGTATGGGCAGGGGCCTGGTTTTAGCCTGTAACCCCAATCTCCCAGGACTGATGTGATCAGTGTGGGTTAAGAACTTCTAACTTCTAACCATGACACTGTACAGTCATCATCTAGTGTATCGAGAGACTGCAACTCTTACGCAGCCATAAACATCCTGAAATCTCAGGGGGATCAAAGCAAACAAAGTTACAGAAAGGAAGAATGCAAAATATTCCATTTATTTTCCGGCCCACCACCAGGCGTCTGCTTCTTATTCTGCTTCCATGTAAGTGTGTAGTGCACGATCCAGTCCTTCATTCTATGATTGGTTGACCTGAAACCCAAGTATTAGGAAGGAATTAGAAATCACTGACCCTGCCACGGGCAGAAGCTGCAATACCCTTCTCCTGAACTATGCTTCCACCCGTTCCTCCTGCTCAGCTCTTTCCTCAGGGAAGGTAGATGTAGCATATGGTCAGGAGCCCTAGCTCTGGCTCCTTGTACAAGTTTCTCTTTGCAAACTATTCTATAGTTACGCCAACTCCATCTGAATTGCATGAGTGACACAGTGGCAATGCAGAATAAAATGACCTCGTCCTGGGTAAAATAACAATGCTGCTTTTGAACCTTCCTATCTGATCCCTCAGACAGAATAGACCAGGATCTCTGATAGAAATATGTACCACGAAGAAATACAATGAGTGTTTGTTTCAGTGTTTGGATCCATATGTCAATGGAGGGAACACTCTGGAAAAGGATGCAATATTTTTATTATCAATTACAAGTATATTATGTAACTAAAAATATAACAAGTGGCCATTCAAAACACATAGCAGCATACCTTTGAGTCCTCTCCTAAAGACCTCCATATCTCAAATTGGTGATAAACCAGAGAACTATAAAAGTTTATATAGTTTTTCCCTCAATGCATCCCTGGAAATCTTCTTGAGAAGCAAATCATCATAAAGTTGCTCATATTTTCCTATAGGGACAGTGCCATAATCGGGAGTGGAGATATTGATGAAGAATCTTGGCTAAAATAAATCATAAATATGGCCACTGACCTGCCATAAATGCAAGGCCATAACTGCTATAAACCTCAGCGATCACTTAACATTTTAAAATTGTGTTCTAAATCACGGAGGCCTATCATTTTATTACTATCAGGGTCTTTAGGGATTATCTTGTCCAGTCCACAATTTGGAGATAAGAAAATCTAAATCAAAGACGATTAAGTGATTTGCTTAATTTACTTAGCAGCAGAGCCAGCAAAGGGCCATGGCTCCATCTTTTCCTTTTGCTGAGTTCTTGCCTGGCAATCCCCCACAAGTTAAACAGCTACATGCTGATAAGAAAAGGGTGAGAATACACATGTAGTAGGTGGAAAGATTATTTTATCATCGTGTGACCAAATGTTAATATTTCTATTATAATAAAATATTAATTTGAGATCATTTAATAATTCTCTTAGTCTCATTTTTTTTTTAAATAGGCTCTCACTGTATCACCCAGGCTGGAGTGCAGTGGTGAGACCACAGCTCACTGAAGCCTCAACCTCCCCAGGCTCAGGTGATCCTCTCACCTCAGTTTTTGTATTTTTAGTGGAGATGGGGTTTCATCATGTTGCCTAGGCTGGTCTCCAAGTCCTGGGCTCAAGCGACCCACTCACCTCAGCCTCCCAAAGTGACTGGGATTACAGGCATGAGCCACTGCACCGGGCCTTATTCTTGGAATTTAGGAGAGTATCTTAAGGGCCAAAACAATCACATTTTCTTCTTCCTAATAAAGTTACCTAAGCAATCATAGACTCTCAAAAAAAACCAGGAGTCTTTTACAAACTTTTTTTTTTCTGAGACAGAGTTTCGCTCTTATTACCCAGGCTGGAGTGCAATGGCACAATCTTGGCTCACCGCAACCTCCGCCTCCTGGGTTCAGGCAATTCTCCTACCTCAGCCTCCTGAGTAGCTGGGATTACAGGCTGTGCCACCATGCCCAGCTAAATTTTGCATTTTTAGTAGAGACGGGGTTTCACCATGTTGACCAGGATGGTCTCAATCTCTTGACCTCGTGATCCACCCGCCTCGGCCTCCCAAAGTGCTGGGATTATAGGTGTGAGCCACCCTGCCCGGCCTACAAACTTTTTTTTTTTTTTTGAGAGTCTGGCTTTGTTACCAGACTGGAGTGCAGTGCCATGATCAAAGTTCACTGCAACCTCTGCCTCCTGGGTTCAGGCGATTCTCCTGCCTCAGCCTCCCGAGTGGCTGGGACTGGAGGTGCGCACCACCATGCGCAGCCAATTTTTGTATTTTTAGTAGAAATGGGGTTTCACCATGTGGGCCAGGATGGTCTCCATAGCTTGACCTTGTGATCTGCCCGCCTCGGCCTCCCAAAGTGCTTGGATTACAGGCATGAGCCATCGCGCCTGGCCTACAAACTTTTCATGTAACGGACCACAAAGCAAATATTTTAGACTTTTCAGGCCATACAGTGTGTGTCCACACAAACTATTCAGCTCTGTCATTGTATCACAAAAGCAGCCAAAGACCATACACAAAGGAATGGGTGGGGCTGTGTTCCTATAAATGTCTACCAATAGACACTACAATTTGAATTCCTTATAGTTTTCATGTGTCACAAAATGTTATTACTCATCTTTTTTTCCTCGACCATTAAAAAATATAGCAAAACACACTGCCATGTGTGTACCTATGCAACTGTCTTGCATGTTCTGCACATGTACCCCCAAACCTAAAATGCAATAAAAAATTAAAAGAAAAAAAAAAAGAAGAAGGAATACCATATAGATTGAAAAAGAAATAAAAAAAGTAAAAACAAAAACAAAAAAAATATAGAAACCATCCTAAGCTTGCCACCTTACAAAAACAGGTGAAGGGCCATATTTGACTTGCGGATTTGTTAATCTGTCTCAGTGGGAAGGAAAAGAGTGAGAGGTTCAACCTGGAAAGATTTAGTTTCAAAATGTGTTCATGCCTTGAGGTTGTAACTTAACTTTTCTGTCTTAATTTGTTCATCTGTAAATGCAGGTGATGCTGTCTATTTCATAGGGTGCTGGTGAGACCGAGTGAGCTAACACTCATAGAGGGCCCAGTGTAGACCCTGAGAATAACAGATCTTTAAACATTAGTTCTCGTCCCTTTTCATCTTCTTAACCCTCCTACAAATACATATATACATGTCCATGCGTGCACACACAGACACACACACACACACACATACACACACACACACACTTTTTGATTTTAAAAAAAGTTACTGGCTAGGCACGATGGCTCATGCTTGTAATTCCCGCACTCTGGGAGGCTGAGGTGGGTGGATAACTTGAGGCCAGGAGTTTCACAATCACCTCAGGCAACATTATGAAACCTTAACTCTACAAAAAATAGAAAAATTAGCCAGGCATGGTGTTGCATGCCTGTAGTCCTAGCTACTCAGGAGCCTGAGATGGGAGGATTGCTTGAGCCCAGGAGGTCAAGGTTGCAGTGAGCCAAGATCACGCCATTGCACTTCATCCAGGGTGACAAAGCAAGACTCTGTCTCAAAAATAAAATAAAATAAAAGTTACCCTCTTTTCTTATCTCTTTCCTTTTTCCTTTTCCAAGCTACCTCCTGTGGTACTGAAGTACATGAAGGCTTACCCACGACTTGGGTTGTGATAGTTGGAAAATCAATTTTCTTTGTAATTTATAATTTTGATTTCCCTTTGCTATTTTCACTTATTAAAAGAAAAAACAAAAACCATACCAACAAACCACAAACAAGAAACCTCACATCTTTAGGAGTCCAAATGTGGGAAGCGACAGATCTGAGGACTTGCGTGATTAACTAAGGCAAGAAGAAGAGAATTTTGACCAACTCATCTTGCTTCTAGGTAGATGGACTTCAGTTTGCTGACTAAGTCAGAGCCCGGAACCTTCCAGAGCTGTCAAAGGGAGTCATCTCCATGCCGAAATGTATGGCCCAGCACTTGTTGCCATTTTTCAGGCCTTGACTCAGGGCCCAATCCAACTGACCTCCCACCAGCAGAGCATTGTCACCCATGATCAATTCTCCCCTCATCACTGGAACCTTGGGAAATTCCCACCAATGCACAACCTAGTGCATGGCTAACAGGAAAGTGCTCCAACCTTCCTCTGACTCGCCAGCAACTCTAAAGAGAGGGACAAGAAGGGTCAACAGTGCAGCTAGATGGATTTGTATGGATGAAAAGGCAGGCAAGAGGCAGGGTGCCATTTTCCTTGACATAAAGTCCAGTGAGGAGTTGGGAAAGGGAGAGTGAATAGGAACATATCAAGTCTGTAATCAGACTTCTGAATATCCGCTAGAAAAGCTGCCTACCTTCTTCTTGTCTTCTTCAGTCATTGCTACAGAAACAGGGGGGACAGACTGGGGCCCCTCCATTCAGGCATTCACCCATGTACTAGTGGAGGGAGTACAAGGCACCATGGCAGGGAGGTGGGGATTCATGAGTTGATGGAACCATAGTTTCTGCTCCCAAAGAGTCTGTGATAATGAAGAAAGTGCAGGCAACACACAAGAAAGCAGAAGTGACTGTGCACTGTGCTAAGTACTGTCATGGGGCAGCAGCAGGCCTTAGGAGCTCCTAAGAGGGCCTCAAGTCCAGCAGCCCCAACCTTTTCTGCACCAGGGACTGGTTTCATGGAAGACAATTTTTCCACAGGCTGGGGGGTGGTGCCGGGGGGATGGTTTTGGAATAAAACTGTTCCACCTCAGATCATCAGGCATTAGATTCTCATAAGGAGCATACAAAGTAGATCCCTTGCAAGCCCAGTTCACAATGGGGTTCTTGCTCCTGTGAGGATCAAATGCTGCTGCTGATCTGACAGGAGGCGGAGCTCAGGTGGTGATGCTCTAATGCTCGCTTGCAGCTCCCCTCCAGCTGTGCAGCTGGAGTGGGGGGAGTTGAGGGTGGCTGGGGAACCCCCCCCCACTATAGTCTAGTCTATGGTCGATAGGGAAAGAAATAATAATCAGAGGAAATGACACACACGCTAGGCAAAGGGAAGGATAAGGAGGGCAGAGAGAGAAGAAGGGAGAGGGAGAGGACAGCTGGCATTTGGGGATTTCTACTACATGCCAGGCATCATTCCTACACGTTTATGTGTATGGCCTCAAGTATGAGGTAGTTACTACGATGATCCCCTTTTACATGCTGGAACAGAGAGGTGAGGTTACCTGCTCAGTGGCACACAGCTAATAATTGGCAAAACTAGAATTCAAATCAGGCATTCTGGTTCCAGAGCCTCCACTCTTAGCCACTACACAGAGAAAATAGCAAGAGAATATCATGTGTTC